ATGTCCTTCTTGAAGTGAGGGGCCCAAAACTGAACACAGTATTCGAGGTGCAGCCTCACCAGTGCTGAGTACAGGGGCACTATCACCTCCCTGGTCCTGCTGGCCACACTATTCTTGATACAGGCCAGGATGCCATTGGCCTTCTTGGCCACCTAAGCACACTGCTGGCTCATGTTCAGGCAGCTGTTCCCCAACACCCCCAGGTCCTTTTCCGCCAGACAGCTCTCCAGCCACTCCTCCCCGAGCCTGTAGCATTGCATGGGGTTGTTGTGACCCAAGTGCAGGATTCGGCACTTAGCCTTGTTGAATCTCATGCAGTTGGCCCCGCCCCATCGGTCCAGCCTGTCCAGGTCCCTCTGTAGGGCCTTCCTACCCTCCAGCAGATCGACACTTCCACCCAACTTGATGTCATCTGCAAACTTACTGAGGGTGCACTCGATCCCTTCATCCAGATCATCAATGAAGATATTGAACAGGACCGGCCCCAATACTGAGCCCTGGGGAACACCACTCGTGACCCATATCAAAGTGCCCCTAAAATGTTTGTCTTCAAACTGGAATACTTATTCCCCTAGCTATTCTAGGAGCATAAACTCTAATGGCCAGTTTGCCTTATTGAACTGGTACTTACAAGAAACAAAGCCAGCAATAAAATCTGTAAGCAGTTTCCTTGCAGGGAGAAAATAGCTTAATATTTTGCTTGCGGAGGGCATAAAAAGTCAGATGGTTTTCAGTGGAATAATGAGACCTATTTCAGTTGAAGCAAAATGGATTCTAAGAAAAATTAAATGCTGTTAATCTCCTCGGTGTCACATTGTGAGCAGTATGTCTTTCAAACTATGCAGTCAAAATACCACAATCAAGCAGCAGTCCCTATTTTCAGAGTAGGCCTATTACATATTGCAGGACAGGGAGCTCTATAAATAGAGAAAAAACTGGGCTCTCAGCTCTCCTGCCGCTAAAATAAGATAGTCTGAACAATATGAGTTTCTTTATTAACTCTCCTCTTCTGCTGTAGCCAAGCAGGACAGGTTCTTAAAAAATTGTATAAATGAGACAAGGTAAGACCAGCAAAGTGAGATCCGACCCACTGTCTTTTTTTAAAAAATCAAGTCCAAAATCATGGGAACAGATTATCGTCATGTAGAATTTTGGCTTAGCCCCTGTTTGTTTCATCCAAAAGGAGTGCATACATTTGCACTAAATCATTTTTTCATGTCTGACAAGTTGGAAGTGGATAAAAGGGAAAGAAAAGAAGTTAGTGCTTGTGTTGCTTTTCACCAGATGGCAAAACATGGCAGAAATGAGTCACAGCAATTAGGATCAAAAAAAAGGTGGCAAGCAAAAGTAGGTTGTGTATGTACAACAGTATTATATTGACTGTAGGTAAATCATATCCAGTAAGTTCAGTTTCAACTTTACATGTGATGCTTAGGAATTCCTATAGGAATCTATGTGTGGTCCTAAAGACTTTGATGGGATGATAGAGGCCCAGACTTAAGCAGAATAGTTCTGGAGTGTCCATCTTTAAATCTATTAAATCAGAGGCCTAAGTAAGCTCTAAATAAGAGCAGTGGCAGCCGAACATCTCAAAATTGGATTCACTGTACCTAGACCATTGGGTGTGGGGGTAGAGGAAGGATGATGTCTGTCAGAGACAAAAAGAACCACTAAAGTGATGGATCTGATAAATGCCTGATATTCCCTAGATGTACATACAGTATGTAAAACTGTTTTCTGAGTGGAAGTAACCAGGTGGTCCCATTAGGAAACTATAAGCAATTAGACCTGTGAAACTGCAGATAAATGGAATTCCTATTAAAGAGGTTCCCTTTAACTCATGTGAAAGTAATTTGCATCTCTGTAGTTTCCTGTAGAAACACTACCAAATTTGCAGTTAATAAGATTATGTCTGTACTAGCACACATTAAATTACAGCATGGAATAGCTCAATCTAACTCATCATGTTGAAAGCAGCCACATTCATGAGATCTTTAATTCTTTCCCAGGCTTGTATGTATAAAAAATTTCACAGTTTTAGACAGGCAGCATTTGGAAACAATGATGTTCAAATATTTCTTGTATCTTATTTTTTCAGCTGTTCAGCAAAAGTATTCTCTGCTTTTGTTTAGCATTCAGAAAAGTCAAACTTCTAACTATCTATTTAATAATCCATAATTAACAGATCTCATGAAGTGTGGCAACAAATTTATGAGTGTGTTCTGTTGTGGGTAAAAATTAACTCTATTATTTAAGAAGATGATAAAATAACAGAAATATTTATGATCCTAAGAAAGCCAAGCAAATTAAGAATCGGTAGAAAAGTATGATTTACATGTTAACAGGTTAACTACCAAAATAAGTTTGCTCTTTAAAAAAGTCCAGATTTTAACACCTGAGCAACCTACCAATATATTTTGAGACTAGCCCACACATGCTGTGAACTGTAAGTGGAACCCAAGAAGCTAAGGGATAAATGGTCTTATCTCTCTTTCAATTCTTAAAGTAGATATGGCACATTAATGTCACTCATCTTTTTTTCCCCCAACAATAATCTGATCAGTTAGGGCTTTTTTTCTTTTATTTTACTGAAAAATTGTTCAGGTGTTTTTGGTTTTTTTTTTTTCCTTCTCCATCAAACTCTATGGAGCAGATGAGACTCGAGGTGAAAAAGAAAAGTCCCCAATACTGTAGATACTTCATTTTCATATCTGTATATCCCTATATGACATCTTCTCAGATGCTGATCAGCATTGCCTTTTGCCTCACTTTCATCCTTTCCTTCTGTTTGATTGCAAAGCAGGGTAACATTAGGGCTAGGTTAGCCCTATAATTCGTCATTTAACCACGTCTGGGTGGCTAAGAATTCTGCAGCTGAGCATGTTTGGTTTTTTTACTTAAACTGCTACTAGTAGCAACTAGTATGAAGAATTACATATTGCATTTAAGTGAGTTCTTATACACTTCCCTTCCCATAATAGCTCTGTACTACCCAGAAACAGATTGGCTCATGAAACAGAGATGGTTGTTTTTATTGTTACTCCCTTGCTAGCAAGTAATCTTAGCCAAGTCAAGAATGCTGAGGACTTCTTCTCTTGGTCACTGGAAAGCCTTAGATAAATGAATTAATCTCTTCATCACTGATTTGCCTCACTGGGAGACTTATCTCCTTTACGTAGTGGTTTTGAGAGCTATGTGTTACTGTCTCAAGTAGTGAGTGTTGTGACGTCAACCTGCGTAAGTCTTACAGCTTGTCAACTGCATTAAGCCAAACCATTTGCACAGTGCTATAGTGCATTTCCCACACAATACTTTCCTGAGAATAAGCAAACCTGGAGTTGACCAAACCATCGCTGAAATAATGGATCCTTCTAAAGCACAAATAAAATTCCTTTTTGAGCTTGTTGTTGCAAAACTGTCATGTTTTTGGACAGTGTAGTCACGTTGTGAACTACAGCCTTTTAGAATTTTTAAGAGGGAGACAGTAACTCTTCCTACTTCCACTGAATTTTTTTTTCCCCAAATATTTTGTTTTTTAAGTAAGGCATCATAGCTGAACATATTTTTCATATTAAAGATCAGTGAAGTCATTTATACATAACAGACAAGATATACAGAAGATAATTCACAATAGTGTGTGTGATGTGTGGAGGTACCAAATGACTTACCTTATCTCCACTGCACAAGACCATCCTAAAACCACCTTTACCAGTCCCCCCAGAATTTCATAGCATAGAACCGTCACAATAGTTCTCATCTTAGCTGTACCATATCAGGAAAAAAAAGCGGGTCATGGTTGTGGTACATTTGGATGATGCCAGTCAAGGGCTGATGCCTGAGGACCCTCTGATTTGCCCTGGGAACTCACTAGTACATAGAAGGCACATGGTAAAATAAATGAAAAGTGCACATTTTTGTCCTGGTGAGACACTCAAATTGCCATATTTTCCAGTAGTTAAACAAAAATAACAATAGCATTTGAAAATCTTGCTAACATATTCTTAGTCATCATGTCACCAGGTGTCTAGCACCTGGATGGTCAGCCCGCATACCTCTTTATATTCCACTCCTCCCTATGACACTGCACTGATAAGCATGAGCATGTGTATACACAAGGCTGGATGTCCTGGCAGATGCCTCCAGCTGTGCACACACAAACTTGTTCATGCAATTTGTGAGCACAAAGCCCTCTAAAATGTCTAGCACTTGCATGCACCTTTCTATAATGTGTGTTATGTCCACAATCTGATATTAGTATTTAATTTAATTTTGGCCAAACTAAGTCCAATTCCAGGTGAATTTAGCAAATATATTGTGTTTTCTGGTTATCACAACAACCTCTGTTAGACAGTAACTACGTTGGCCTTTGTAGTCGCAGTAACAAGGTGATTCTCTAGCTTGTGCATGATCTGGTAAGGAATTTTGAGTCTTCTGCCTGCCTGGTATTTTTGTGCTTTCTCTGATGTGTACCGTGTTCAGTGTGAATGCTTGTGTGTCAGTGTTTATTAAATGTTAATATTCTAGTGGCCTTAAATTTGTGTTCTGTATGTATCCCACCAAAGGAGGCAGTATAACTCCCTAGTGAAATGCATTTCCTGGGAAAATCTTGGCCTTTGTTAGTAAACCCTATCTTTGTTAACTAATATAGACATTTCAATAAAGCCAGCTTTTTTATGCTGCTTTTCATATGAAGGAAAACAATCACTTTAAGTGTATGAGCTGTCAGAGTGTATCTGCCAGGGAAACCACTAAGACGTGGAGTAGCAACAACTTCTCTCAATGCAAAGTAATTAAAAACTAAATCAGTAAGTAGTCACCGTGTTAAAATATGAGCTTCTCAGATTAGAAAAGTGCTACGCATCACTGAATATCTTCTAAGGGATGTATGGCAATTCCCCTTGTCACCTATTTCAGATTTTTGTCAAAAACTGTAATGAAAATCTTGGATTTTCTATGCTTTTAAACCACATAGCTTCTAAGGAGAGAGAGGGTGGTCTCAGATTAGAATACAGGCGATCTTTGAGGGTGTTTCAGAGTTTGTTTTTTCTTTACTTTGCCTTAGAATTCCTGTGTAGTCTCAAGTAAGTTATCCAATGTGCTGTGACACGGCTTCCCCTTGTCTTCAAAGTGTGATTAAAAGAGCAGGCATACTGCACTGTAGTACTCTGAAGCATCACGTGAAGAATAACCACAAAACACTACTCATGCAGTTGAAAGATATGAAAATGCAAATAGAGACAGACCTGATTATGTATTCTAAATGCACAATTTTCTTTGAAATTGTCAGGAGATCTGTATCTGATCTTACTGCAGAACAGAGCCCAGAATCTGAGGATTATCATTGAAAATCATTCCCTAACATTGTGATAGCTGAAAGAGCTGGACCGTAACCTATTAATTCACATTCAGCTGTTGATCCTGATGATCATCAATCATATCCCACAGTGATCTGTAACTATTTTTCCTAAATGCTAAAATCTCAAGGAGACAAAAAGTCATTTTTTTTTATTTGAAAAAGAATGCATAGCAAATAAACAAGCTGCTAATCAATATCAACAGAGTACATTTTGATTAAATACCTATGCATGGATCCCCATCCCTGTAAATGTAAAACTATATTTCTCCCCTGCATTCTCTTTTTTTCCTGTGTTTGGAAAACCTGTATCAGAGGTACAGGAGCTGTTCTACCTCTGCATCAGAATGTGTTGCATTGCGCTTGAATTATGTATGTCTCAATGGCTTTTAGAAACAGAAGTACTGAAATTCAATAGATTCCCTTCCCTCTTACTATATCAGTAGAAGCAGCATGGATAGTCTTCAAGCCATCTTTTCTAGTGCTGGCTGTTCTACTTTTACACTGCATTAATAGAAATATGGAAACATCTTCCACACAAATCACAAAAAAATTACTGATGGTGGTGAAATGTAAAAAAAAAAAAAAAGATGAAAACATCTGTAGTATTATTAACACAAACACTGCTTTCTTATGCATCCTTCTCTTGGTATGCCTTGTGAATATCATTTGCCTGATAATGGCAATACTATTTTTGTGACTGCCAACACAATTTGCACCGTCACATATAAAGCTGTTGTTTAATGGCACAATTTTGATTTCTAACAATATAATTCTTTGCTCTTACAATCAAATATTTTCCTTTAAATGGTAATTGGATTTTTAGGCCTACTAAAGCAATCCTGTTTTGTAAGAGGTGTTTCCACATTTAGTTTTCCATAGTGCAGTGTATCATTGCATATAATTCCTAATTCATTAATTGTAATGGAAAACCCAAACCCGTAGTGTATATGTAAAATATAACACTACTTATCTCTTTGCAGTTGGATCCCGAAGCTAGTGTTCTTCTAAAAGAACTTCAGGTGAAACTTAGCAATGTATTGGATGAACTCAGCATAACATATGCTACAAGGTAACAAACCTATTTTACTGCAAACCTTAGAGAAATGTTCCTGTTCAAAAATCTACCTCGTTGATTAAGTCTGGGTGGCTGTTTGGATGTCCTGAGGTACAGCTTGCTTCTGCCCTGATGAAGTGGTGTGCGTTTGTGTGTGTGTATGGTTAGTCTCTGAAACATATAGCAGTAACCTCACTGTAAAGAAAATAGTCTGTGGGCATGAATGTGTTACAGGGGTGAGGCTGACGACTTTTGTTCTGCTTTTTGGAAAACAAAAATTGGTGGTTTGTTCTGGCCTTATGCTGTGTTAAACTTTTTCTCTCTGACCGTTTGTTACTTCCTGAGACTGACAGCTTTTTCCAAGCGGCCTGCTTCAGCCAGGGGTGTCTGCCTATGTTTAGCCTGCTTCAAATGGTCACTGTGAATGGCCTTCTTGGGTCATTTGCTTGCCTGCGGCTCTGCAAAAATTGTCTACTGAGCCTTACTCTCAAAATCTTTCATTAATCAGAAGGCACACTGCAGTCTTGAATGAGTATGGTGCTGTGCCAGCAGTTCCTGTGCTATAAGAGGCGGCAAGTTAGTTTTGCTTCAAATTAGAAAGGAATCTAAGAAAGAAGGATTAGTGCTGTAGTGGTATTCATTAAGTGAAGTCTGTAGTTTCTTATTTAATCCATCGATGAACCATCTGGGTGGACAGTGTTCAGTTTTTCTGAGTGTGCTTATTTTGTCATATTTTCTCACTTTATTTTTGCTCCCAGACCCTGGTTCTCTGATCGTTGACAGTGCATGAATATTATTTCTTTCCAGGGCTTCTTTCTGAATGACCCAACGAGGTTTCTGCAAAAGAAAACCCAGGAGTAGCTCAATCTAGGGTATGCTCCAGATAGCTAGAACATTCCTCATGGGTCAGTTTATTGCTGGGGTTTGTGAAGCTAACAATGTTAGAAAGATGGCTAATGTCAAGAAAAGCCAATGCACTATTTTGGCTTTTATTGGAGGGACTGGTCCCAAGGCTTTATATGAGCAGCTTCAATAGCAGCTTCATGTTGATTTTATCTAGGGCTTTGAAGTGTGTAGCTAAGTTCACACCCAAGTGTACTTGGAAAAGTTTCCAATTTTTCCAGTGTTTTCACGTGGAGATTTGTGTTCTTCTTATGATTAGCCATGTAGCTGGAACAGCTTACTGCCTAGTTACACTGTTTCTTTTCTCTCATAGTAAGTTATTTTTCACTTTCCCCAAGTTAATCTTTGCCATTTATCTTTTCACATTAATAGGCCTGGTATATTTATGGCCTCTGTTTTGCATTTCTGTTCATAAACTAATCCTAAACCAATTCAATTCACCATAAATCAATTCATAAACCAAATTGCCATGTGTGCAGAGCCTTATTCTGCCTCTGAACTGTTGACTCTGATTAACTGCTGTTCTGCCTTGTCTAAATATATTGACTGAAGACTGTATCACATCAATGACACTACAAGATTGTCAGACACGTTGCCTAAGCAGATCAGTTAGGAAACAGAACACTTCAGAAAAGCTGAACAGATACAACTCGAGGAGCAAGAATTTGTTCACACTCACTTTGAAGTGAAAAAGATTCCTTCCAGGAAGAAGAGTCTAGCTACTTCTTAGTGGGGTTTTCTTGCGAAAGAACAGCACAAATGTTTTAGCTCTGTCTGGTTGCAAAGAAGTAAGCAAAGCTTCTGATGGCACTGACTGTGTGAAAGCCTTGAAAAAGTCAAATTGAGCCAAACAGGGCAAAATCAGTCCTCAAGAAGAATACCAAAGCTTGGTTCATATTAACCATCAAGAGAAAAATAATTTGTAGTCACCTGTTCCTGTTGTCCTTTCACACCAAAAATAAAATCTTGAGAAGTTGTCGCTGGCTGGTATCAATCATAGCCTAAACTACACATTCTGATGCATCTGTTGCTTTCAGAAAATATTTACTTGTCGCCCCTACAAGGGCATGAAAGCATAATGACAGAACAGAAACAAGAAGGGAAAAAATCAAAACAATGCATTAATTAGTTATATGAGCTATAATCCTTAGGAAGGGTTATTTTCAGTCTGTAACACCTGCAGTATCTTGCGTTTGTGAACTTTAGATCATTGCAGAAAAGATTTAAATCTTGTTGAAGAACCTAATACAAAGTGATAAATGTTGGTTTCTATCCCAGAATTCTTTAATTCTCTTTTTTTTTTCCCCATCCTGTAGTTTCCAATTTATTATTGAAGACTGTGTAAGACAAATGAGCAATGAACTAAATCAAATGAGAGGAAATGGGAATGCAGCGGCCAATAAGAACAGTGCGGCCATTGATGCCGAGATTGTGCTTCGGCCTCTCATGGATTTCCTGGACAAAACGTAAGTGTGGCAGACTGGTTTGTGTGGCCAGATTAGGAACTGATGCTACAGTCAGACATACCTGGATTTACTCTGAAGCATCATTAATACCTAGAAACACTCTGTAGTATTTTTAATATTTGTAGTATTCACATGTGTGCAGAATACTATGCTTAACCTCTTTATTTGTGCTAAGCAATTTCTACGTAAGCTACGTATTTGGCTTTCTATTTCTTGTTGTGTTTTGAGTCATTGCAAAGGAGCTATGTACGGTCTCTCCTCCACAAGCTGTGGTATAAAGAAGATTGTACTGAACAAAAGAACAACAGTAAATTCCCTATACTGAAATTGCCTGCCATTTGTTCTAGGCTGGCACCCAGTGTCCCCCTGCTTATTAATATGCAGTTCTGTGTCCCCAAAAACCTGGCCACCATTTGAAGATTTACAGAGCAGCCTGATTTTTTTTTCAGTCAGTAAAAAGCTAAATTTTGAAATAGTCCTGCAGACTCACTCTTGGCCCTGAAAGTAAGGGTATCTTGTCTTCTCATCATACAGCAGTGACAGGATCAGCTGTTCTGAAAGGCAATGTGCAGCACAGGCACATCTATAAGCACCTCACTGTCCTTGGTCACATCATTACTGGTTCCTGTAAAACACCAGTGGCCTTTTACTGGAAGTGACGGTGAGAACAAGCAGCATGACGCTGATCCCACGCTTCAGGTCTCCAGTCGTACATACATGAGTTACATAGCCTTTAACCTTTTGGTTCCTTATGCATGTTTCTCCTAGCCAGACATTTTCAAAGTGAAGGTGGAAAAGGTGTGCTGAGGGAGAATCTTGCTTGAAGCAGAACAAGCAGCATAACCAGGAGGAAGTGGCTGGGCAGGACCGGGGTTAAGGCTGGAGCTGTGCTGAGGAGATATGAGGAAGGGACTGAGCCAGGCAGAGAGCAGGCTCAGGGAAGCCTGTGGCTTCCAGAAGCTGTTTTGTTTGATGCAGAGCCCTCGTTGGCAGGATGCCTGCTATGCCTGTCTTGCAAAGCCCCTGTCTGGAGAATTTAAGAGGCAGCAGAATAGGGTCAGTTTTCCTGGCATCCTCTGGGGTCTGTTTCCTCCCAACTCTGTGCTCTTTCTCATGCCTGGACAAACATCTTCAGCCCTGACCAACCCCCACAGATTCTTTCAGCATTAAACAGAACATACTCTGGGGAATGCCGCGTTAAACGGAACATACTCTGGTGAAGGCCGAGGAGCCTTTCTGTCTTCTGCATTGTAAAGTTGTACAAATGGCATTACTCCACACTTCACTGTATGATTATCTGGTGCTACTGGTGGTGGCCTCCAGTCCCAAATGAAACTTCTTCAGAGTCATAGATCGCCATGAAGGTTTGTTTTTATGCTTTTGACAAACTGCTGTGCATCTATGATCAGTAAGACTCTATTTTGAAGTTAGTGACTGGAGGTGCAGAATACTTCTCTGGGCTTCTGATGTTGCGACTAGTAAGACCCAAGTCAAAGGCTGATTTAAAGAATTGATTTGTAACTGCCTTTCCTTTCTCCAGGGCATTACTTCACATTCTTATTGTTTCTAAAAATGGGACTGATGGGCTTGCTATCTCAGAAACACGACTAGAATCGCAGCTCCCAACTGTACATATGCATAGCCAAAGTCTAAAAGTCAGTGGCATAAAAGGTGGGGAAGGAAATTGAAGGGGATTTTGGTTGTTCTTTGGGGGTTTAATTTTTCTAGGCTTCATTTTTTGAGGGCTTTGGCAATTACATGAATTTCAATGGCAGCTGGCAAGGGGCAGAAGCTTATTTAATGTACTTGATTAGATTTTACTATTTTTGCAACACTATCAAGTGCAGTGCCTGGATTCCTAGCCTGGAAAAAATTTTTTGCTGCTTTATCTATATGTCAGCCTTTCATTTTTATCAATCTACCTAGTCCTATGTGTTAAGTTACAAGGGGGATATGTGTTTCTTTCAAGCAGTATGTTTTTAAAAGCCAAAAGTGTTTATACACTTACAAGTGCTATCCTAAGCGCATCATTTAAAAAACTGGGTCAGCTGACTTTTGCCTGTCAGGTTTGATTCCAGATTGCCATTTCTCAAAGCCGTCTTCATAGCTTCTTTGAGATTTAATTGAATAATGACATAGTGGAAACAAAAATGGGTTTTAAATTACTGTCCAAATAGAATATATTCCTCACCACAGGAATGTTAAATGGAATTTTAGCAGATGCTAAAAGCATGCACAGAAAATAAAGATGTGAAATTAAAAAAAAAAAAAAACAAAACAACAAACAGCACTTCTAGGGAATATCACCTTTCTTACAAATATGTCTTTATAATGGGATTATAAACATCATATTAATATGGGTTGGGTTTTAGATATTTCTTAATTATGCTTTTATTTATGTGCTTACTAAGAGTAATAAGAGATGCTAGAAATATGAATTGGCATATTTATGATGTGATATGAATAATGACTTTACAATAATTTTTTTTACATTAATAGATTAGACATAATTCTGTAAAATTCCCCATATATGCATTTGTGTGTTATTATTTTGAAATATTTTTTCCTGTGCCTGAAAACTGCAGCACTTTATTCATGATGCTACTTATTCATGACAATACATGCAAGATGGTTCATAAATATTGTCTTAAATAAAGAAAAAAATCTAAGTATATAGATCCTCCAAAAATGTAATTTTACTGTTAGTAATAGATAGTATGATTGCACAGATATGCCAGTATATAGAAATAAATGCTTCCAAATGGTAGCCTTGTATTTGCATTAGCTATCAACACCTAGTTCTACATCACAGTAGAAATATAAGACAAAAAGGGAGATTTTTTTTTTTTATTTTTAAGACATAAACAAATTATATATCAAAACTTTAATTTAGGCACTTGGGAGTGCTAAATTGTATCATCCATCAAACTTTATAACTCATCATCATTTTGCATTTTCGATAAATATGTATCAGTAATATATTAAGCAATAAATTGGATAGTGGAGATATACATGATTTTGTAATCTGCAAGTCTTTTTTTTACCAAAAATATTTCCTAATAATATTGCAAAATAACTAAGCAGTTGAGAAATCTTTACTGGTAAAAGAGAAAAAAGCTAAACTATAATGGCCATTAATCTGAGCCTATAGTGATACAGCACCTCTGAAGTTTTAATGCTAGTTGTAGAGACTGGTTTGTGTTTTGTTTTATTCCAGTTTAAGCGTGTCTGCGAAAATCTGTGAGAAGACAGTTCTGAAACGGGTTTTAAAAGAGCTATGGAAGTTAGTCTTGAACAAAATAGAAAAACAAATTGTCCTTCCACCACTGATGGACCAAACCGTAAGTGCCCCAGCAGTAGTTCACACCCATTAAAAAGGATTGTAATAATGTGCTTAATCAGGTGTTTGCCAAGGGGTCTGATACTATCCTTTTCTGTACCTTGACCAGAAGGAATAATATATTAACTGTGTGCAGTGTGTTGCTCTCTGGTGTTTCAAAATAGTGCAGCTAGGTTGCTCTTCTGTAGCTGGTGAGGAAGACTTTGCTCTTTCATATACTGCCTGCCCCAACTCAGAGCAGTTTTTATGAATGCGGTATAAAAGAAGCCGAATCACTGACTTCGTAGTGTGCTTTCATGGAAGGGCTTTTAAGTTTGCTTTCTCTTGACTTCATCATGCACAGTAACACGATGACTGTTCCTTGCCCTTCCCAGTTGCACAAGGAATTCAATCACTTCCATTTTTGCAGCTGCCAGAAAGACAGGAATGCTCCATACCATTCTCCAGTCCTGGCTGCTGTGCCATTCCTCATCTTGAGGAAGCACTTAACATCAGGAAGCTTAAGCCAATTTTAGCTCTAAAGTTTGGAGGTATTTTAATAGCAGACTTGATGGAGGTCCTCTTTAGGCAGGACTGCATTTACAGCCTGACAAGAAGAGGGAAAGAAACTGTAAGTTAATATGGAAAGTAGTGCTGCTACACACAAGACCAGTGTGGGTGATGGCCTGACATGAACCCTGAGTAGTGACAGAGCTGAGGGCACTGGATAATCTGATTCTGTCAAAGGATGAGAGAAAAAGAGCCTGTCTTGGAGTGCCTTTTTAAATTGCTTTCTGCTTTTTTGAGGGGTTGGAATAGCATAAATGTTAATTCTTCTTGTTTTCAATCTTGTCTAGAATAAATTCACCATCTTTATGGCAAGCTAATAATGACATTGCCACAGTGTGCCTTTGTGCAACTTTACTGTATACATCCTATGATATCAGTTAAGCTGCTAAAAATCTATTGGTCAGTATCCATAAGTTAAAGACATAGCATTAAATCATATTATAATATATTAAAGAAACATGAAAGAATATTGCTGGAGAGGCAAGAGGAAATCTAATAGAACATGTACAAATGGTGTTAAGGTAGTAATGAAATAACCTGAGCTATTAAAAAATCATAGACTAGAGCTAATCACAAGATCATAGCCAGGGCTCCATTCACTGGATTTGTTCACATTTATTATAAACCTCTTGTTTACTCTGCATTATTAGAAACAGCCTCTCTTTCAATGAGTGACTCTATATTTCTGAGATTTTTTTTTATTTGTTTTTCAAACATTTTGGTGCAAATTTTATCTGCAATACATAAGTAGCATTTAAATTGGGTAACTGCATTTCCCATCAGGCATTAGGAGCATTTATTAGCTTTATGCAGGATCAGTTGTTACACTCTGCATCACAGAACAGCACGATTCAGAGTTAAGGGGTTTTTCTGTTGCTTTTTTTAATTGGTTGCCAAGAATACAGAATTACCTATGAAAGACTTAGTAAGCCCACTTGCACAATTACACAAAGTGTTTCAGTTAGTTGGGATAGTAAAACATTTGTTGAAACATTTCCCCCCAAAAGTTTGAATGTAGACCTTTATTTAAAAAATAATAAAAATATTATAGTCTTTCAACCATAGTGAAAATAACTTCTGACTGCCAACTGAACACAGATTTCAGTTCATCTGCCTGAATCTGCAAGCACCTCTGTTGTCCTTACTGATGCTCAGAAATCACACCAAGCAATAAGCTGTGACACTGATGTTATAGCCCATTTCAAAACAGCTTATTCCGACCATTAGTTTAGGAAGTTGATGCTTCATTAAGCTATGGGTGTACATCTAGAATGCAAAACTTCAGCATTTCAGGCAGAACACAGAAAGGGTGGTGAAGCAGCAGAGACAAGGGACCCTCCACCCCCCTCACCCAGAATGAAGAGTCTTCTGGATGGATGTTAGATGAGTTAGTGGCCAAAGGTAAGAAGGCTTCTGTTTATCAGCCAGGTACTGATTAAAGGCAGAGACTGAGCCTATCATTCAAGACTCTTTAAGATCATTTTAAATGGTGACAGCTGGAATTTCCACAAGTGCTTTGCCCCCATTCTTCACAAAACTGAAACAACCCTTGCTTCTCCACACACGCTTAAAAAACGTGCGCCTCTGACTAGAAATTTTCTGCAGCATATTTTTTTCCAAATTTTGCTCAACATTTGTATAGTAGAAGATATGATATCTTAAATATATAGTCTATAATGATTAAGGAACATGAAAAATAGCTACAAAGATTACTGGATTAGGCTTTCAGAGTGCTTGCAGTATCACATGTGTATGTTACACTTCACCAGCTGTTGGGTTTTACTAGTTGTAGCCTCTATATAAAGTGTCCCAGTTGGCAGGCATGGTGAAAGGTGTATAGCTAGTTGCATTTATTTTGCTACTTCTATTTACTTCTGAACACACAATTAAACAAAACCTATGAAAAGTAGGATACTGTAAGAGAGATGGTTCCCCTTTGTAGCCTTGAATATTACTTTCTCTCTGAGGGTGAGAGGCACAGGCATTCGGAAGCAGGGTTTATGTTTTGATTTTCATATTTATCTTACCATTCTCACTACTAATAAACAATGAAAATTTAAGCCGCAGTTCTATATTACATCTTTTGCAATTGAACCATACAGAAGCAAAATTATTTCTGGAAACTGAAAGCTTTTGGAACAGAAAGACCATTGAAAAATTGTTCTGTGTTGTGCTATGTAAGTTGGACTGACTTTTTTTTTCTTTTCTGAAATCCAGACATTCAGAACTATGTCTTGCTGAACTGCCAAGTAACTGCACTAGTAATTATATTTCTTGGAGTAACTGTGATAAAAAATGTGAGCATGGAATTATAGTAGGATTCTGTTTTTCTAAGACAAACATGTAGGCATTGGCCTTTGGTATCATGCCAGGATTTGGCTATTGTAAAATATTGGTTTAACTTCTTAACACTTTGGTATCTTTTCTTAAAAAAAAAAAATAAAAAAAAAAGGCTTTGGCTTAACAGTATGCTCTTATGCTGTGTGTAACTCAACCAAGGATTTCACTGTAGACAGTTAAGCTTTTGCAAGTTCCTCAGGGCTGCTCACTTCCGATTATGATTATTTATATCAGCATAGCACCTGAGAGCTATGATTATGGACAACTATCTCATTGACACACCGTATAAGAACAATCCCAGCCTTAGCTTAAAAAAATTGAATACAAAACAAGATAGCAGACAGGAGCACACAAAACCACTATCAACAGCATATGCAATATTTGTATCAAGTATAGGATACTGGAGGGAATCATGCTGCAGGCATTCAACTACTTGGCCTTATCAACTGAATGAAAATATGTCTCATGTGTAATTGAAATTTTCATTTAGCTTTGCAAAACAGTGAATTTGGCTAATGTCCTAGCAGAAAATAAGATCATGTCAACATAAAAAGCAAACACACTGTAGTGAGTCTGTTTCCTGAATTTTCAATGTGATTACAGGGGCCCCAGATGATATTCAGTGCAGCCAAAGATCTTGGACAACTGTCAAAACTCAAGGTAATGGAGCCAAATGAAGCTGTGATGGCTCGCTCTAATGAAAAAAATAGGTGAAATATTAGTGACCGTGAGGCCAAGCCTCATGCCTCATTCCTGTGTTTATTTGCTATAATAAGATTGAATACGGCAGTAACTATTCATAGGTGAGTAATGATTTTACAGTCTCATCAAAGCCAAATTAAAGATTAAAAGACTGTAGACTGTATGCTTATATGGTAAAGTGATCACTAGATGGGTCAAGATGTCATTCCCATATTGCACAGCTAGGCCTTGTAAACATTAAACATCACAAAAAATAAATTATGAGATCTTCGTGTTCCCTTCTGCAACCAGTTCTGAAAAAACTCTAAGGTGGGAATACTAGTAATTTTTTTCTGACTATTATTTATGGTATGTATTGAAACATAGCATGTACCTCTACAAAAAAACTCATCAGCACTACATTACTGAAGTCCTTAATACACTTGATGGAGAGCTTAGATGTTTGATACTGATGTCAGTTGTTTGCCAATCAATTTTGCCATTAGGATTTCAGATTTGGGCAGAAATGTGGTAATTTGTGCTTCTATGAATAATTGCTCTGTTTGCTAGAGGAGTTAAAATGTTGCCTAAGTAAATCTCAGGATGCTTATTTTGGACAAAGGTTTCACAGGAGTATAGTCACTTTATGACTCTATTTAACTTATGTTCTAATAGGAAACGCTTTTTTTTTTAAACATGGGGCATTTAGAAACATTAGTTAAACTGTCAGGTTCATTAATAAAATGAGTTCTTTCAGTATCATCTAATATAATTATTTAAACTTAAAATTTAACTTTTTTTCTGCCCCCAGAATAAAAAAATAATATGCTCTACTACAATCTATGTTTTCAAGAAACAACATGATTGCTCGAGGTCATAATTTGTTGTAAAAGAAGTCTGAAGTTGAATTAATCCTCGTTAATCATAGGGACTTGGGGGGCATTTGGCAGTTTTGTTTGTTTATTTGTTTTTCCAAGAATAGACAGGCCACAATACTTACTTTCTCTCTTTCAAAATGAACTGCAGTCTTAACTTGCTTTGCAGGACCATGTAATTCGAGAGGAAGCCAGAAGCCTGACCCTGAGGCAGTGTGCAATAATGGAAGTAGCACTAGCTACTATAAAGGTACAGCTTTACATGTTTTTCTGTTCTGTGCTGGACTGACCAAGAACCTGGTTGACATAAACAACAGATTGTAATATAGAATGGTCCCTTAGAATCATAAAGATGCTTTTAATATGTCAAGAACCATTTGATCCTAAGCTCCTTGTACTGACTTGAAAGCAACTGTCTAATAGTCTGCTTGCAGAAAAGTTAGAAAAATTATTCTACGAGTTGCAGGCAGAACATGTTCCATTAAAGGAACTGGTGGCCAAAGCATATCTGATTTTTCTGTTCCTTTATGGTTTAGAGTTAGTGCAGCTGAAGCAACTGGGCTAAATCCTTATTATGTTGCAGCATAGCCTATTTTGCTCTTGCAAAGGAGACACTGAGCCTGAAAAGTGTGGTTATTCCTAGCTGCACTCCCCTGCAAACATGTATGACACGTGGGTTTTTTTAGCACACCAGAAAACAAGGCTTTTAATATCATGCATTACTGTGCACTATTTTAAATTCAATGTCCAGTTGAATTTATCAACTTTTTGCAGTTTGGAATTCACCACCTGATTTACTGTCACTCCTAAATAATTTGATTTAATTTAAGATGCTGTTTAATTATTCTACACATTGGTCCCTTTTCAGTGAAAACAAAAAATCATATTCATCACACACATGTCGAAAACAGTTCTGAATAAATTAATTTTATGCATTACCCACATCTTGTTGATGCAGATGTTGGTAATGCATAGAACTACTTTAGAAACATCTTAGCATTGCAATAAATGTTTTACATTAGATTTTTAAAGGAGCCATATTAGAGACAATCCATCCAACCTTAGCTGGTGCTAATCTCATTGCTAGAAATACAAATTAATTTATTGGTAATTGATAAAGTAACTCTATGGTTTGACCTCTCTGGAAGGGTGACAGGATCAGGCCATAGGCCAGATGAAAAGTTCTGAAAACTTTGTTTTCACTTCCTCTCATTTTATGGTTATTGCATTATGCTCCTAAATGTAAAAGTAAAGAGACTAACAAAGTCTTTTTTGTTTGTTTGTTTAATAAAAAACCGGAGACTTTTATACAGTCTTCACAGGCTGGGTTTCTGAAGTCAAACCATTAAGCAATATTATTTAATGTACTTTTCACATTGGCCTGGATCTTCACTTGGGGTAAATAACTTGAAAGCAATCAATTTATAGAATAACAGTATATTTTCGTGTATGCTGCTGAAGAGACAGCACATCAGGAAGGTAAGGAGGCAGCTACTTAAGAATAAAATTGAAGATATAAATAAGAGGACATATTCATGATCAAGCGAAGTCTTGTGCAACAAGACAAGAAAGAAGTATTAGAGAGGGCTCCCAATTGCCACCTTTTGTATTTGCAGTGGAACTGGCATTTCTTTCAGAAATAAAAATAATATTTGGGGTTTACTGATATTGTGGAAACAGAAATGGAACAAAATGCTGAAGTACTGTGTGCTCCCAAATTAAGCCCTCTGGACTCCTCAGTTCGGTCTGTGAATCTAATTATTTTCCTTTCAAAGCAGTTGTTCTAAATAAAGGAAAGTTGGGAAAAATGGAAATTCTAACCTTGCCTGGCTTTCCGGTGCTTAAACTCTTAATAGTCATAGATAGATATTAATCATTTTACTAAACAAAAGTCTAGAATTGGAACAAAAAGGTTAGAAATAGGGAAAATCCTTTGGTAATTCGGTAGTCTTAGCTCTGTGTGCTACATTCATAAACTGAACAAAATAATGCTCTGAAAAACCTATTTTCAAATTGTAAGGCAATGACATGGCATTATAACCTGCTTACTGTACTTCATACATGATATGGTAAAATCTTTTTTTTCCAAAATACTAAGCAAATACTCTCAATCAGGCAGAAATTAATCTTACACTATTAGAAAGTGAACAAAGACAAACCTTGTGAGTTAACTCAAGAAAAAAGACTGCTGTGTTGATTTAGGAATGCAGTTCATAAGTTTAATGATCAAAATATACAATTTTTTGGTAATGCTAGGTAAATATGGTTTACAGTATGGTTTAAAAGCAAAAAAAAAGTGGCTGCCCAACTAAGAATAGAAGAATGGTAAAAATGGTATATGGTATCTGTTCAAAAATTAAGGAACTGATTATTGTGAGGAACAGATTTGTGGGGAGGAGTATCTCTGTTGCTTGCACAGTCTTTTTTATTTTTCCTTTCATTAGTCTAACTTTTAGTACCAAAAATTAGTTCACTGAGCAACTTATAATTTAATAGATGATGGTGTTATTAATGCTTTAAGGAGCATAAAATACAGGAATAATCTTTCATCTTAAATACATATATAGCATACCATCAGTCTTTGTACGTTGTAAAAAGAACGTTAGCAATTCATATATATATATATATATTTTTTTTTTTTTTAAGCTTAATTTAAAATTTACTGTTAGGAGAAGTGGCTTTCAGTTATTTCAAACTGAGTTATCTCAGCTATCTCATTATCTCAGCCCAGAGGTAATGCTCATTGATAATATTGTTCTAGTTTCCATTTTTGTCTTTGCAAGCACCGCAAACCCCCAGGCACGCTACAAAGTGAAACTACCACCCAATATGACTTGTGTGGCATTTGTCAAGTTTTGGCTGAGACTGCAGTGGCTGCAGCATTGATTTCCACATACTTGACATGCACTTGTGTCTCCACCTTTCATTTGTCAGTATGACTTTCAAGCCTCTTTTGTCACCTATGAACCCTGAAACCCTTCAGACTGGAGCACGAGTAGCAGGTGAACTATTTTAAGGTTTACATCACTAAAGAACAGGGTATTAGGTGTCCAGCTGAATCTGTAAAACCCTGCTTACTCATTATTTTTCTATCTTTGATTCCATACAATAATGATATCTTCATATTAGTGGTTTGGCATGCAAAATTTACCATTTATGGGCAAGGGCAAAAAAATGTAAAAACTCAGGAAGATTAGGGTCAGGTGTCCTTGTTTCTTTAAATATCTGTTAGCTTTCATGGAGCTTTTAGTCCTTTGTAGCTGCTGCTGCAGATAACATTTTACTGGGAGAGACAACTGAAAAAAAAATTACAGTAATTGTCACAATAGCAGGAAATATTAACGGGTTTTAGCACTTGCTTATAAATTGATTAAGATCCTTGGTGAAATCATGAATACACTTTTAAACAATTAAGACAATAGAGATTTCTTTAGAACATATACTATGAAATAATTTGCTTGGAAAGATACAAATTTCATGTAAGTATGCAATGATGAAAAGATAAAGGTGATTTAGTCAGAACCTCTTCAGTTGACACTAACTGCCCACATAGGATTAAAACAATATAAAACTTTCCAGCCTGATGACTTCAAATCCTTTGTTTTGCTCCTACAGATATTTTTTCCCTGTAACAATTAGTAGCTGTCAACACAGAAATGTAAATAATGACTTTGTTATGAAAAGTACATTTATGTTTCATCTCCTGCAAAGATCTTGAGAATTGGAAGGTGAAATGTGTAGACTAAAATGCAACGGGCATGTATGGACTGTAGGTCTGCTTTGTCACAGGTATGCTTAGGATAAAGCATTTAGTATAGATGTATGTATGTGAACCAAAATGTATATATTGAATATATTCCTTTGGCAACACTCCAAAAATGCAGGGAGAATAGATTCTACTTACAGTTCCCAACACTGCCTGTATTGAGTGGACCAATATTGCATGTCATCAAGTAGTCATAGTGTTTTCCTGAAAAACGTTGTTTGCTTTTACTAATTAGCCATTAATGGGAGCTTTATACATCAATCCTGAGACCTAGAACCGTCACGTAGATTGCAAAATGCTTTGCTAACTGTTTGTTTTGTTCAAACAAAACAATGGTTTTAAACTTGTATGGCGAATATTTCTTTTCTTTGTAGCTTAAGTGTATTAGTTCATCAATGACTGTCTTGTATAAACTTTTAGGGAAAATTCTTAATTTTGGGAGGAAGAAGGGAAGAATCTGTCCTACTTTTCCTGAGCTCAGCTTTGGGATTGGAAACATAATATAATACTTGCAATAGTTTATATAGTCAGCATGGCATTGAAGTGGTAAAGATACATTTTGTTCCAAATCTGGCTGTGCCAGTAGATCAGGAGTCATTTTTTGTTTAAAGTATTTATGCTAATTTAGCTTTTTTTTTTTTAATTTTGCTTTTTCTTAATGAAAGGAAGGGAGCACTCAAATTATCAGTGTAGTGGGACAGCATCTTGTAAGCAATCGTTGATGAACAGCTGGCAGTAATCTCTACACTAGTGCAACTGCTTGCAGAGTGAAGATCTGCCCCCATCCTGGGTTTGTAGGAAGCACTAGTGGTGTAGTGGTTTACTGCTGCATCATTCATAGGAGTGCATAAAGAGAACTGTGGGTACAGCTGTTCTGCCCAAAAGGAAATCCTCTTTTGAAGGATGAAATTTACTCCCCATCTTCCAGGGCAGTACCAACCAATGAGCTCCTTTTCTCTTCCATCCTCTTCCTTTCACAGTCCAGGAAACCCTAATGTGGTCACTCAAGGATGACACATGCTTTTTCTGCATATCCACAGTAGAACAGGTCAAAATTAGAATCAAAGAAGATAAGCATCATGGAAACTTCCATGCACTTTCTAATAATTTCCCAAAGCATAATCATAATTTCCGGCACAATTACAATGCAATGCTAATCCAGAACTTCATATTCTAGGATCTTCTCTTTTAAAATTTTAACAAAATTCCCCCTTCCCACAGAAAGAATATATTCTTTACTTGTGCTGTAAACCCTGCCTTGATTTTAGAGATTATTTTTTTTTAGATAATTAAAACCAATTCCACTCTCCACAACCTAAAAGAACCCTGCAAATATATATGTCCAGTTTTGACATATAAATACTTGAGATCATGAAGACCAAAATTAAAATTTTGTATTTTTTTTCTCCCACAAGGCTTAAATTTTTACCTTTGGAAAGAAGCTCTGTAGTAGAGATGATGACAGTTATCTCAACTGCTATGACCATAAATCTAGATACACATGCCAGGTGTTATTTTTAAAATTTTGTGTAAGAATTTTACTTAAAATTTACTGAGGCCTCTCTCAGATAATTTGTCTCTCTTAATGACCATCTTTATTTTTCATTTTAGCAATACTTCCATGCTGGAGGAAGTGGGCTGAAAAAGAATTTTCTGGAAAAGAGCCCAGACCTACACTCCCTCAGATACGCTCTGAGCCTTTACACACAAACTACTGACGCCTTGATAAAGAAGTTTATAGAAACTCAGACGTCTCAAAGTAAGTGATCTGTAAGAGACATATAAGTACGTCAAATTATATTTTAAATGTTTTAAATTATTGGTTGCCAATCACATTTTCCAAACACTGTGGTATATTAGAGTTTATTGTCAAAATTTGCCCATGTGATGTTATCCCATATCAACTGCTGTTGTCAATCAATGGAGCTTATCTGAGGACAGTGCATTTATCAGCTTGTCACTTTATATGAAGAATAGGTCCCATGGCTCTATATGAACACTGAATATCAAGGGTTATTTATAGGAGCACTCCACACACAAACAGGGTTGTAGAGGCTGTACCAGAGCACATATTATAATTGCAGAAACAGAGTAAATTCATAGAATACATTGGCAGCCTTAGATACTTTCAAAGCTGGCGGATATTAATTAATTACAAATCACAAATAACTGCAAAAAGCATGACATATCCCATAAGGTTTCCTTTTGGGATTAAGAATAATAAATTGTGAGCAACATGTCCTTAATGTAGCACACTGATTCCACATTACAAAGCCCACACTTCTCCTTCTAGCAGGTCACCTGTGGATTCAAAAGGAATAGAAGGTTTCTGTAGCAATACAGCATTATTTTCCCTGTCTGGATTTTGTTCCTTTGTGCATTTCAGAATTCAGATTCAAACCCATCCT